TGATGTTTTTTTCCATAGCATACTATACTATTATTTGACATTTTTATGCCATACTATAATATGATGTTTTTTGACATTTTTATGCCATACTATAATATGACAATTTCATACCATACTATACTATGATGTTTTTTGACATTTTTATGCCATACTATACTATGACGTTTTTTGACATTTTCATACCTTACTATACTATGACAATTTTATGCAATACCATACTATGACGTTTTTTGAGAATTTTTTGCCATACAACTCTGACAATTTTTGACATTTTTATGCCTTGCTATACTATAACATTTTTTTCAAATTTCATGCCTTACTATACTATGATGTTTTTTGAGAATTTTTTGCCATACAACTCTGACAATTTTTGACATTTTTATGCCTTGCTATACTATAACATTTTTTTCAAATTTCATGCCTTACTATACTATGATGTTTTTTGAGAATTTTTTGCCATACAACTCTGACAATTTTTGACATTTTTATGCCTTGCTATACTATAACATTTTTTTCAAATTTCATGCCTTACTATACTATGATGTTTTTTGAGAATTTTTTGCCATACAACTCTGACAATTTTTGACATTTTTATGCCTTGCTATACTATAACATTTTTTTCAAATTTCATGCCTTACTATACTATGATGTTTTTTGACATTTTTATGCCATACTATACTATGACGTTTTTTGACATTTTCATACCTTACTATACTATGACAATTTTATGCAATACCATACTATGACGTGTTTTTTGAGAATTTTTTGCCATACAACTCTGACAATTTTTGACATTTTTATGCCTTGCTATACTATGACATTTTTTTCAAATTTCATGCCTTACTATACTATGATGTTTTTTGAGAATCTTATGCCATACTATACTATGACGATTTGACATTTTCATGCCTTACTATACTATGACAATTTTATGCCATACTATACTATAACAATTTTATGCCTTACTATACTATGACGTTTTTTGACATTTTTATGCCTCACTATATTATGATGTTTAACATTTTTATGCCATACTATACTATGACATTTTTTTGACATTTTTATGCCATACTATGACGTTTTTTGAGAATTTTATGCCATACTATCCTATGACAATTTTATGCCATACTATAACAATTTTATGCTTTACTATACTATGATGTTTTTTGACATTTTCATGCCTTACTATTCTTTGACGTTTTTTTACATTCTTATGCCATATTATATTATGACGTTTTTTGACATTTTCATGCATTACTATTCTATGATGTTTTTTTTACATTTTTATGCCTTAATATATTTTGACGTTTATTGACATCTCTCTGCCTCACTATATTATGATAATTTTATGCCATACTATACTATGACGTTTTTTGACATTTTTCTGCCTTACTATACTATGACAATTTATGACATACTATACTATGACAATTTTATGCATTATTATACTATGATGTTTTTTGACATTTTTATGCTTTACTATACTATGACGTTTATTGACATTTTTATGCCTCATTATACTATGATAATTTTATTCCATACTATACTATGACGTTTTTTGACATTTTTATGCTTTAAAATAGTTCGACATTTATATGCCTTACTATAATATGACTTTTTTATGCATAAAAAATTCATAGTGCACTAAGGTAAAAAAAAAGTCATAGTATTCATGGTGACATTTTAATTGGATTGTTCGACAGAAATCAATCGTATCGTGCTAATACTTTGCTGATATTTTACAGTAAGTCTGTAATTTAGCATTTCGACTTCAGTAATTGACAGGAATACTTCCTCCACAATTGCAGTAAACACATTCAGACTGACATCAAACCTTTAAATTTAATGCAACAATCTATGTTGAGCTGATTTTTCCCTGTCATCTGAAGGAAGGTGGACGAACATGTGAACTGCATCCACTTATTTAAAAACTGCACTACTGTAAAATAGACCCCTCTGTATGTCAAACTTGTCAGCTGTAACTTATTCATTAATATTAATACTTTCCTACTTCGTAAGAAACACTTCAAGAGGACATTTAAAAAGTGACAAGCTGAAAGGATCATTATTAATCTGAATTGTACTTTCCACTATAGCAGAACGTTTTGCACAAAACACACTGTCATTATAAAAGCAGCAAGTGTGCTTGGATATGCCCTCACAAGAACTCACAAGTGGGGTACTTGAACAGACAGTTAGAGAAAGAGAGAGAAAGAGAATGGGGGACATGAGTCAAACATGCAGTGTTAGCTACCTTGACATCTGAGCAGAAAATAGCTCATGTTGTGGCTGAAGGAGCCGCTGATGTAGCCACAGCTGTCGGACAAGGCGCAGGACAGGCAGCGACGGTTGAATGAACCAAACGTGTCCGCACTACGGAAACAACGAAGACAGCTACCGTAACTTTCTGTAGACATTTTCTTTTGAGCAAAATTGGAAGCCTTTTCCACTTTTAAACCACCAGTTGGTACAGATGTCATAAGAATGGCCATTACCTGTACAGATGCCTTCGTTTTGGACCATCCTCTGTGCTCAAGAAGTATCTACATGAATGCAAAGATAAAAACAAATGTCATGACAGCAGATTTGAGTTTACCTTGGTCTTATTTGTGAGTTTGACAGAGCTGTGTTCACCATTCAACTTGGGGGAGTGGAAGAAAAGCACCTGGATCATACAAACACTGCCTTAACTACTCACTAGATGTTTCATAAATGAATGATGGAAGGAAAAAAAGGGGGGATGAATCCTTTTAGAACAGAAGTAGGCCAGATCTTACCCCCTCGGGGGGAAAAGGTTTTAGGGTGGGTGAGTTCAAGCTTGAAGTTATCATTGGGAACAAAAGAGTAACTGTGTGCCTATATATGTGTGTGAATACAGGAGTCCCCAGTACATGTGAGATCATGTTAGTCAGATTCGCAGTTGCCTCGTGGCCTTGAGCGTGGGTGTGAAATTATCTGGGAGTGATGGGAATGAGTCACACTCCTCATGGGTACAACAGAGACAGAGGGTGATTTTTACACCCAGCACATTCAGAGCAGTTTATTGTGTAGAAATGCATAAGCTGGTAGGGGCTCAACACAATCGGCATTAAGAACGGTTTCTCCTCCTCAAAATGTAGCATCAGTGCTATAAACTAGTCACACATCATAATCAATACACAGCTTGACAATAAACTAGATCATTTCGCTGCTGGACAGCAACAATCAATCTCCTTCCTTGTGCTCTGTCCATGGTGCTGAAACATTCAAACGCTGGGTTTCAGAACCATGGAGAGAGACGGAGAGAAACCCAGCATTTGAATGTGGGGTCTCTCTCTCTGTTCATGGTGCTGAAACATCCGATCCCATACAGTGCCGCAGGAATGCCGTATTTTATAATACTCAATGAACATTCAATAAATGAGCTCATGCCGCATCCATGTGACTTTTATTTTTTGTTTGTTATCCACAAAAAACTACTGCAGAATTGTGATATAGTGCTATTTGTTGCTGTGAGTGGGGTGGTGTAAGTCTGGTTGGTGTGTTGCTGGTGTTTTGTGGGTGCTCACATCAGCTGACTGTCCTCATTGTAGGCCAGGACTTGGGTCACATCCCAGTCTCCAGAGGTGATGGACTGCAGGGTGTCTGTACTGGTGTTGGGCTTTGGGGTTTGTAGAAGTAAACAGACAAAGAGCAGAATGCAGAACTTTAGTAGTTAAGTCACGTCTAAGTCAAGTCTTATCGATTAACACATGCTCAAGCTAAATATGAAGCAATCTGTAGCTGATAGGAACATAAAACATGCTGCTGAATGTTCTTAAAAGTCACCAGTTACCATGTTTGCTAATTCTAAATCATACTCAACACATAAATACTCTGTTACCTGGGAGATGGACATGGAGATGTGGAAGAACTTGCCCCTGCCTCCTTGAGGAATGGCTCGAGTGAAGAACAGCTTAAGTCCGTCTTTGGAAAACAGAGGCCTCTCATTCTGAAGACACAGAGACGATTGTTCAAATCACTGACTTAAAACATAAAGAACTAAAAAACTATATCAGTGGATTGGTAAACATACAAGAGTGATACATGACTATTTAAAAAGACAACATAGAAAATCCTGCAACATTGCCATTAAATATTTATGTAAAACATAAATCATATTCTGACATGAATTTACTGGATAGTAAAGCTGAGGAAACAGTAATTTTAATTTAATCAACATTACTCAGTCCCACCAATAGAGAGTTAAGTCTAGGCAAATTTACAATAATCAATAACTTGAACAATAATGTATATGTTTGACAACCGTCTCACCTGTCTGTGCAGCCATCCTTCACTTTCATCCTCATGTTTCTGGAAAAAAACCCCAGAGAGTGACAGGTTTCAGTTGCTATATGAAGAGCAGCCTTTGATACAAACACACTAGACTTGAACGTACCTTAGTGCAGACTCCTGTTGTGGCCTCACACAGTGTGAGTATAGAGATGTTCTGGGCTCTGTTCAGCCAGTTGATGGCAAGTTTAGTGGTGGTGGCCCATTTCACCATGGTCACATAGTATTCACTAACAAACAGAGACATTTTTAACTTCAATTAGCAACGTTAGCAGGTGAATGACCAGTCACAGAGACAAAAAATATTACAAAATAAGATGACTGAAAAAAAAGTGCCAAAATGTTTCCATTCACTAATTGCAGATTATGATAGAATTTTAAAAAGAGATGAAACATTTATGATCTCTTGCAGAGGAATTGAGATATTAGAGCAGCAGCATACAGTATGAGCCACAGCGAAGGAGGAATAAAAAATTGGGTATAAATACGACCAGAGCGAATGGGGGCATAAAAACTTAATGGAACTAAACACAGGACCACATTAGGTAAAATGTATCACTGCATATAGAGAATTTACAGAATCTGTGCAGGAACAGAACATACTGTTACAAAGAAAATTACATTATGAGATACATGCAAACTTATTGAGCATCATGAAATGAATATATACAGACATTTGCACTAAATGACACATGAAAGAATATATTTAATATGAATAAAACATGTAAATTAATACTGTTTGTGCAGAAGGATTCAACTGTGCATCATTTGACTGAGCAGAGACTAATTGGTGTTCAGTTTGCATGTCTCACCCTATCCTGGGATCATCAGGTCTTCTCATCTCGATGGTGTGAAGAGGGCCGTTCAGGTTCACAACATACAGAGTGATAACTGGGTTTTCCTCACCAGCCTGAACAGGACGAGTCAAAGGAGGGAAAACCCTGATCAGTGGACAATGAAAATACAAGAGACGTATACCTACAATTTCTTAAAATGCACACATGCCTGTATTTAATTTTACTACCTTAGGATAGTGGTACTCTTTCCCCATTGGGTAAGGTGTGCCTGTGAACATGGGCAGTTCCATCCGGGGCACCAGGGTGTCATTGATTGTGGCGTAGGCCAACCTTGCACCATCTGGAGACCACCAATGGGCAACATGGGACTGGAAAATCTCCTCTGAAAAAGTCAGAATAAATTTACAATCACTCATAATGACAGTGAGTAAAAGCTCAAACAGCAGAGTCCTAAGTTAATTACATGGCCGCAGGCCAACAGACTCACACTGCCATTACTTGTCAGAAATTAACAGGTGCTCTGGGAAAATGTCTTTCGAAATGTATAAAGTGCCGTGTCATTAGTAAGGCTCTTTGTATCACATTGCTCTTTGTTCTCAGAAGCTCATTAAATTGTTAATTCACAAATGCCGTCTCAAGTTGGCCACCACGCAGGATTTATGGATGTAAAGTTGAGTAGTTTTTGATTAAATAACAGTCAAATGTTAAGTAGCTTGAACAACACAAAGTGACAAAGCTCACTGTCCCAGAAGAAAATACCAGCCCCCTGAAAATGACAAAACTCAAATCCTGCCTCATGGTTGTATGCCTCCATCAAGCAGCCAAGTTGCAGGAAATACAGCCACACTCTCTCAAAGTCACAGCATTGAAAAATGGCCAGAGGAGTTTTTGCCGTACATTACGTCACAGTGAAGTTGACCTTTGACCTTTTGGATATAAAATGTCATCACTTCATTTTATCATTATAGACATTTGAGTTAAATTGTGTCATAATTAGTGTATGAATTTGTGAATTTGGTCACAGTGACCTTTGACCGCCAAATTGTAATCAGTTCATCCTTGAATCCAAGTGAATGTTTGTGCCAGATGTAATGAAATTCCCCTCGGGCGTTCTTCACAAGAACGTGAGGACACAGTGACGTTGAGCTTGAACTCCAAATTCAGATCAGGTCATCAAGTGAATGTTTGTGCCAGATGTAATGAAATTCCCCTCGGGCGTTCTTCACAAGAACGTGAGGTCACAGTGACGTTGAACTTGAACACCAAATTCTGATCAGGTCATCAAGTGAATGTTTGTGTCAAATCTGAGGAAATTCCCTCAAGATGTTACAAAGATATCACGCTCATGAAAGTAGGACAGACAGACACGCTGAAAACATAATGCTTCCGGGCCCAGCTGTCGGCAGCACAGAGGCATAAACATCCCCTAAAGATCAGGTCAAAATGTCAAAAAATAAAAAGCTTTCCTCCTTGTCCTTTCAGCAAAAATACACTCTACTAACTCTTGACTGACCGGTTTGCTGTATGTGGACTCTCCCCCTCATTCTTTAACCTACACACACACACACACACACACACACACACACACACACACACACAGTAACAAATGCTGAGGTCATAAATCACAGCAGCTTTTAATCTCACTCCTGCCCATCGACCAAAATAGACCTCAGCTACATTTCCTCGAAATCACCCAAACAGCAATTTCTCATTACAGCTACAACGGCGCAGCGCACTTTACCAGATAACTTTAGTTTTTAGGGTTGTTGTTACCTGTGTGTGTGTGTGTGTGTGTGTACCATTTTCAGCAAGAAACTTCAGCTCATTTCAGACTTGACCTAGTGGGTTCTCTTGAGACCGTCTGTGAGCATGTGTGTGTGTGTGTTGGTCGGAGGGTAAAATTATGTAGCAATCACACACTCCTGTTCAAAGAGAAAATTGGGGACAAGAGCACTCTAGGTCCTTCGTTGCTTCCACAAAAACACACACACACACACACACAACAGACACACACACACACACACACACACACACACACACACACACACACACACACACACACACACACACACCTCTGTGTGTCAACATACGGTGACTTATTAAGGAATTATGCAAATAAGCGCTGGCTGAGGGAACTTCCCTGACAACATAAAGCATGGCCGTGACAATTCTACTTCATTATTGAGTCTGTGGCGACGACGCAGACAGCATGGAAACAGTCCAGCTTATTGTTACAGCTTGCCACCAGCTATATTTATATCAACTTTTGCAATTAAAATTTCATTAATGCTGTTTATCTGTGGGACAGGGTGCTGGCTTTGGGGAATGAACAGACATCAACTACCAATTAGCATTTTCATTAAGCGTGCACGCTTGGTAGAATCACTTGATATGCAGCATCATTTGACAATCACCCGCAGTACAGACCCTAGTGTGCATTTGTTCTCTAATGCAGTTCTGCAAAAGAAGTTGTGTGTGGTATCTTTCCACTGCTGGACACTGTTAAACTAATTATAACTCCACACATCTCTATGTTAGTGTGAAATGAGAAGAAATAGGGCTAATGGTAGCACTTAAGTCTTTGCTCTCCTAGACTGCCTGGTGTGTCCACCTGCACCCTGCTGGCACAGCTCAGCGGGGAATGATTGGATCTCAATGTCTGAAGATGAACAAAGTAGCAACAACACAGCATTAGTAATGATGTAAAAAAAAATAAAATAAAATAATTAAAGCGATTTCCCGCATGGCCAGTTGCACCGCCGCCTGCTAACTCCAGCAGCGGCAGCTTAAAAAGCTTTCTATGTGGAGTGGAACCACCAGGCTGTCGGATCTGCTCGGCTGGGGACGCCCAGTCACCTTGGCTAGTGAAGGAGAAAGTAGTTAAGTTTCTAGAAGCGTCCTGACACGTGCGTGGCAACAGCAGAAAGTAAGGAGACAAAAGGGGGAGAAAGTAACAGTGAGAGAAGGCGGCACTTTTGATGAGCAAACTCTCAGTTTCTTTCTCTTAAGCAATGAGATCGTGTCTCTTTCTTTTTCCAGCCACCTTCTTTTGTGATGATTACTAAGGTGAGCTGTCAGAGGCTCATCTCCTTTCTCCATGTTCTCCATCCTGCTGTGCACACTACATTATTCACAGAGTAGAGCGTATTATTAATGCATGAGATACAATGAGTCAAGTGGCCAGTGAGAAATAATGAGTGCAAAGTGACAGATTCAGGCAGACTGAGCTAAAGAGGAAAAGAATATCAACTTTCCCAGGTGGCATTTAGTTGATTTTATTTCATCGTTTTTGCTATTAGTAAGAAAAGCATCTACTAATAGCAGATCTGGAATCTGTAAGGTGATCAAGTGGATTGTTTCTTTAGAAAAAAGGAGCACATGTTGCCAACAGAGGGCAGCAATGTCACATACTGAAACCACGAAGTAGAGCAGCAGTGTGGTACAGAGAGAGATGCAACTTTTGTTCTAATTCTTTTGTTAAGTCTTTTGTTTTTTGCTTGTACTTTTTATAGCCTGTAGTCCACCTTTCCAATCAGAAGTAACGAAAACATCTATCCTGCCAATCACACAAGAAGCACATATAAGACATATCAAATACAAACAAATATACATGGCAAAAATCCTTTAAACTATGGGATTTGACAGCAGAGACACACCCTCCTCCTTGGTTGGTTAGCTGACATGACATTGCAGCTTTCCACACAGCTGTTACTATAAATACAGCACAGTTACCACTGCGCTGACTGAGGTGACAGTGCAAGTGATAACAGAGCAAGAACAGAAAAGCACATGAGAGAGTCAGGTGAGATTTTACTGAGTGTCTACAAAGCCTCATCCACAGTTTGTGGTTCAGTCCCACGAAAAAACATTGCTACATGACGCAGAAGGAAAATGCAGGTCTATATCAAGCAAACGACAAAAACTTTACTAATGTCATTAAATTAAAGTAGAACTTTTTTTTTTCAGTGTCCATCTCATTTGCTAAGCAGCTGTAACGTAAAGGGGCACTCCAACAATTTTAAACATAAAGTTCAGTGTACTCGTCACAAGGCGTCATACTCAGACTTGTTGTATAATAAAGTCTCCAGTTGCTCTGGAGGGAATTTTTCTGCAGTTTGAAAAAACAAAAACCCTGATGATGTCACCTGGGTTATTTAAGGCTTGGGTGTAACATTTTTAGGGTAAAGCCTGTGTTACTAACTGAAAGCACTCAAATGCATTATGGGAAATGCAGAATCCAGATCCATCCTAAAAGTCGGGATATCTCGGCCTTTTCCTGCTTCAGTTTTGACCAGTCTTGTTTTTAATCTGTCTTGTGTGAGCGCGCCAAACTTTATGGGAGTGCAATATTAAATTACTGGAGTACCCTTTTAACACGACACCTCCCATGAATCACTTGTCAAACAAAGCATGTTCTGTGCGGTGATGTGATTATTGCAGGCAAGAGTTGCAAAAAATGATATCTTATATTTCCTTCACAGAAGTGTTTTGGCTCAATTATTTCTCAAGGTAATCAAGAGTAGAACCCCTAATGATGTTATACATAATGTTAATTAAACTGTCGATGCACATGCAGTTTTGTTAAATTGCTCCTAAAATTATTATAATAACAAGAAGATTTGCTTTACTGCTGACTCCAAATCAGTATCCTACAGAGAAATAGATACCATATCTTCAATTCAGCTTAGGTGCAGTAAATAAAAAAGTTCAACAAAACTATTTGAAACTGTGTCTCATTACAGTTTCAGCTTGTATTCACACCAAACTAAAACCAACATTTTTCATTCCCTTTATTAATCTTTCCTTTTCAAGTGCACAAGTGTTGATTATGTGGTTACTCTGTGCCCTGCAGGCTCTGACACAAACAGAGCGATAAACAGAAACAAGCCAATGAACAAGCCTCTCGATGCAGACAGTCATCTAGCCAAACATCTATGGGGCAAACATGACTCAAATCAAAGCCATGTCGGGTTTTTATCTCCGCGCACCAGAGCCCAATAAACAGCTGTTTCCTCGGGCTGCATCACACTGCAGGATGTGTCAGTATCAGTGCAGCCTCAATAATCAGACAGCCGACAGATGACAGAACACTTGAGACTCTCCTGAGGCGTTTTGGACTATTACACACAGCCGACGGGGCTCTTGGCTGCATCTCTTATTTTTTAATTGAGCCTTTTTTAATTTTTCTTTTTTCTCCCCGTCTCTCCTGCATGCACACTACAAACAAACAAACATACACACAGACATTCACGGATTAAGATGGCAATGCAAGCCAAAGGATATTCAAGCCGGGGAGATTATTTGCCAACCTTTCACCCCTCAGCATCAAATCTGCAGCGCGGGCGACAGGCAGAGCTTAAGACCTCATTTCTCCTCGGCAGCAGTCTGAGCCTCAGCTTGACCTTGGCCAGAGCAGAGTCTGAGTCATTAGCATGGATAATCTTCTGCCTTGCAGTCTCACTGATGAATGTAAATATTACACAACCTGGCGCAGCTTCTAAACTCCCCCTGCAGATGCTAGCATCTCCACTGCGCCAACGCCGAATCGATTTATTTATTTATTTATTTCAAGGTGGATTTTTTTCTAAAATCAAGGACGTCTAGTGTATTAGAAAGAAATAAAAGTATCTAAAAAGTATATGGACACCCGAATATTAAACCCAAATGCTATGCTTGAACATCTCAATCCAAAACCACGGCCATTAACATCCTCAACTCTTCTGGTTTCAGGATTTCCACAAGATGTTAGAACCGGGCCGCAGTGACCTGGCTTCACAGTTGGCGTTCTAGCTCATCCCAAAGGTGATGGATGAGTATGAACTCAGGCTGAACAAGCTCCAACCTGAATGAAGCCAACACAAAAGTTCCAAAAACTGCAGTTCTTCAAATGACCACTTGAGGCTGGCTGCAAAAGCGAGTCAATTCCAACAGACTCCTGTGTTAAAATGTCTAACTTTACAGCAGAAAAAAACATGTTTACAGCTCTGGTCTCAATAGCTTATTTTCTCCTTCATGATAACTGTACTGCGGGTGAATTTTTATTTAACTCACCTGTTTAAAATTCATTAAGGCTTAAAGTTATGTATGATTAAGGGCGTGCTGCTTTGAGTGACAGGTGGGTGAGCTTATGGTGTGCAGCTCTTGATTTCCCCCAATGAATTAACCATTATTACACGACAGACATTCAAATACAGTGAATAATAGCACCAGACATTATCTGGTAACTATAAGTTATCTTGAGACAATAAAATAACACTTTCTCTTATCACAATAAAGGAGGGCTGGAGATATTTCGACATCATGTCACACTATCTACTTAACGCAGTTTACATGCAGAAATAAACACACTACAATTCTGTTGTTCTGTGATTCACTTATATCTCAACATTATGAAGTCGACTCTGTGTTTTATCTCTTGGTGAAAGATTTATCCTGTCAATAAATGATGAGTGTAAATTACCAGCCCCTCAGCAGCCCATAAATATGAGTCAGGGGGTCAGACGCCGCAATATTGTACTGATTAATGTTTAAATGGCTGCGCATGGATATTGCTCTTGAAGGATGGACGTGGTTTCAAATGTCAGCCTGGCTAATGCGGAGATAAGAGGAGCCGTGGGTTGACAGCATTAAATAAAAACAAGAAGAGTGCTGCAGAGGGAAGCAGCCACACAGCTCCCGTCCTGGTGCACTGGTGACCTCAGATAACCTCCGTGTCACAGCGTCTGAATGCTCAGAAGCCTCCTAGGTGTCAGCTGTTCACATTATCAAACAGATTTGTATTGTTTTATAGTGTTACTGGAGGATTAACAGCTTGCTCTATATCATAGGTTGTCTGTTTCTCCTATCTCTGCATCTATGACTCTGCTACTCGCCGTCTCCCTCTCGCTCTCTTATTAAAACACTGTTCCACTGGAGCAGAAAGTGCACCCAGTGCGCCGGATATAAATTCATTAGTTGAATGCTAACATCGTACCCGTCTTTTTTTCTTTTTCTTTTTCTACTGCGAGGCACACAGGTGAGCTTTGATCGGTGGCGTTGACGCTTGGAGAGCACCATGACATCTGTATCAGAGTGTATACAACGCACGCCGCTGCTGAATTAATGAAAATCAACCGATGTAGAACATTCATTCATTTTCTTGGGCCGTGTAAAGCAGTAGCAAACTGACAGACTTTCCATTTTTAATTTACCTGCAGGAAATCAAGAGCTGCACACCACCAATATTAATGTGGGTGCAGACGCTTGGGAGTCTGTCGGTTTCATGTCATTAGTCCCTAATGCATATGTTCCTGCAGAGTGTTCAGATTATAGTCATGGGATAGAGGGAGGAGACTTTTTCTCTGTATTGGTCACTGTCGTTTTAGTGTCTTGTGGGTCAATAGCAGAGTCAGTTCATCCAAATCACATGACAGTTTTCTCATGATTTAAGCCTAGAAAATGCTATGACTTCTGTTGTTAGCCTAATACAAAGTGTGCTCAACAGAATTGTTAAAGGGTTCATTTCTGACCTTGGAAACAACAGTTGACAAAACACTTGCACATTAAAGTCAATTAAGTGGCTGCTCTGGAGCTTTTGACCGTATCACAGGGTCCTCATCAGTAGATATAGTTTATTCAGTGAAAACTGAAACTGTAGACTTTCACATGATTCAAAAAAAAAAAAGCAGAATAGAGGGTGTCCTTTGCTGTACTGAGTGTAAAGGCTTTCAAGGCGTGACCTCTCAGCCCTGACCTCAGAAACAAAAAAAATGATGTTTGATTTCAATCTGAATACAAAAGCAGAACCGCTTTCTGGAAACAATGTCCTGGTTAATTGGGATCCAGCTGAAACTCCAGTTGAACAGCCTCTATGAAAACTGCTCACACTGAGGTTTTGCCTGGTTTTTACACCAAAATTACCAGTTCGACGTTGTGCAGAGCAGGGCCATTATTTCCAATGCAGAGAGTGGCTGTGCTCTCTTGGACAGTTACGCGAACCATGGCAGCGAGCGCTCTACAGCTTTTCTGCCAGATTTTGCATTAAACTGAACTCTGACCAGATACGATGACCACCCCCACCTCCCAACATGCATCCAGTGGAACTCTGGTATTTATGGGAGGGCAACATTTACAGCAGCTACAACTTTCTAGAGAATAATGGTGGAAATTTAATTTTGTGCATCTCAAGGGTGTTGGGAAATATCAGAGAGGAAAAAGATACTCTTATTATTTGCATTTAGATGCAGTCTGAAGCATCGTAGTTAACAGCTTTGTGCTGCTCTTCTTTATGCACAAAACTTCCCATTCTGGTGCATTTGTTGTGAAACTGATGTGAGAGCTGTGGATTATCCAGAGTGAGCTGTTTCTGCAAAGACACACTGCTGCTTTCTCTAGCTGATGTAGAGTGCCATTCACCTTCAGTGGCTCAGTCTCAACTGTTTACATGTCTTGACACCACTACTAGTAAGTGAGACAAGTGAGTTTGTTTGTGATTTTGCTTCAACTGCAAAGCCTTTTTTTCTCCCTTACCTTCATAGAGCCAATCGCTGAGCCCATTGAAGATGACGCCCTCCTTGCCTGTGGACACCAGCCTAATGGAGCGGCTCTCCACCGTCGAGCGATAGTAGATGTTGTTCTCAAAAATGAAGATCTACAAGAGCCAGAGAGAGAGAGAGAGAGAGGAAATACTCTTTAAACCAAATGGTGATTAACGCGACGTGAGATAAATTATCCTTAAACTGGAAAAACCTGGATGAGAGCTCATTTGCAAGAAGCTCGTGTCCTGTTTATGTGTCCTTGTGCAAGACACTGAATCCCTTCCAGCTTTACGGACGTTGATCTGTAGCTGACCTTAACTGCCAGTCTTCCTACAGGGAATTGCCCTACAATGAATAAGCTGTTACATTACTATTATTATTATCAGCATGAACACGATGAAACCTAAGGACAGTTTGGCATTCACACTGACACTTTATGTCCCGAGTGGGAGACCTGAGTGAGGCAGAAGTCATGCTATCACAGCCGAGATCAACCTTGAGGTCGAAACACACATTAGCATGGCACTTTTTCCCCTGTCACCCAAAGAAGATCAGCGTTCACATTTGCAATAGCACCTTTTGATTTGAGGGGAAAGCAAAGTTTTCACAAAAGTACAAAGGGGGGGAAAAAAGAAGTCTTTTCAATTTCTGATAAGACGGCAAACCGTGGGACCTGATTTTGACTTTGACGCTCTCCTCCACAGGCCTGCGGGGCTTTCAAGATAACTGAAGGTCAACTCTTTCATTACAGAGAATAATAGATCATCAGCACCCACGGTGAGCGTGCTAGGGCGGGGCGGCTCTTGGGGCTGGAATTTTAAAATGTTACAGCCTTAATGCCATGCTGAAATCAATCTCAGGCTATTACAGAAAAGGGCTCACTCAGTATCTGAAGGATTATGGAATCTCTTGGCCTTGAGCTGGAACCATGGTATCAGTTTGTGAGCAATTCTCCAAAAAATATTCACTCTGAGAAGTACAGCAGGAAATCAAATACTGTAGCTGTCTACGATAGCACAATTTGATCTTTACTTTATTCTACAGTGTGAATAGAGTCAAACCACAAATGAACCACTACCCTATTGTATGAAATTAAAAGTGATTTAGCATGTTGTAATCTTTCATTATACAGTATCACATTAACGTGGCATTTAGTACACACAGTGAAAAACCAGCCAGCTAAAAGTTTCTCCACTAAACTTCGCATCCATTTAAAAGTAAAACTGAATCTGTCACAATTAGTTTCTCTTGAGGAGACGTGGGCTGCGGGCCCATGTGGTTTAGTGTCACTTCGGTGCAGATGGAGTCCCTGTATAGAAGCTAATCTAGGCCGCAGCACAGAGAGAAGACCTGGCCCCGTTCTCTGACGGAAGGCAGAACTCTGCCAGTGATCTGGGATCCACATTTATCCTCAGTGAGAATGTTTGGAGCGGATCAAACAAACTCCAGAGAGTTCGCTACTTTGGTTTGGTTTGTTCCGGTCGGTAAAACCAACATAACTGCAAACAAAAATGCACCTGGCGTCGTGAGAAAATGATTATTGTAGTAGTTTGGGAGGAATGACAAGGTAATCTGAACAAATTAGAGGAAACAACCCCAAAATGTGTGATAATATTCCCCTGAATGCATCATTATATTAATGTACTCTCAAGTGGTATTAAAGGGGAACTCCATCAATTTTGAATGTCAGTCTTGAGCAGTACGTTGTTGCCTGTGACAACACTAGTATAATGTCTTCTGTGAACCCGGGTATCTTGGTTTGTGAATGCAGACAACAATGTTTAGCCACAGCACAGCTATACTTTCTGTTTAAATGGTACTATTTAGCTAAAGTTAGCATGCTAACAACGTTAAACTAAGACAGTGAACATGGTAAACATTATACCTCAGCAGGCTAATATTGTCACTGTGAGCTTGTTAGCATACTGATGCTATCATTTAGCTTAAAGCAATGTGCCTACGATGGCTGCAGACTCAGGCTAAAGAAAGATGAATCAAGGGAAGTGGATTTGGAAACAGGATAACAGGTGGACTGCTTTATGTATATTAGATGTCTAAATATGAGAGCACATGCATTGGCTTGCAGAGTGTGTTAGCTTGTTTTAGCTGATGGACATGTCTCACATCAACCTCCACCTCTTTGACAGAGGACATCTGAACCTTCAGGGAAACCAGCTGCTGCTCAGTTTCACGCTAACATAACTCGCCAGCTCCAAGTAAAACCACTTCATGACTAATGGTGGGAAACTTGAGGCTATATCAATCTAGCGTCTGTGTTAATTAATCCAGTGATGAGATACCAGGTAATTAATAGCATTGTGCTGCAGGATGTAATCACTTACAGTCTGTCTGCCCTGCAAACCAACAGACTGAAGCTCATTAATGCTCTGACAAGTTCGACTGCGTGATGATGGAGGCGGAGGATGACGCATCTTCAAAGAGACCATTGCTTCTCGTGACTCAAACAACAATGTTTAATTGTTCTTTACTGGGAAATCTCAGTGAATCATTCAGATGATTTACAACCTGAGGTACAAAAGAGTTTTTATGCACTATTTTAACGGTCTCAAACTTATCCCATATCCGATGACAGGAATAAAATGTTGATTCTGAAAGATTAAGATGAACTCAGGGTCTAATTTTCTAGACTGAGTTTGTCACAACAGAACAATAAGGCCTCAAGACTCCTCCAAACGCAGCTGAGAAGCCTTGTTCTGCCTGAACTTGCAGGATCAACTTGGTGTTTCCTTTGCGACGCTCCCACAATCCCATCATCAATTGTACACTGGTCATTTGGTAAATGTAACGGAGCGTTAAGGGGATCCTGGTCAGCTCGTAAAGTCAGGAAATGTAACGTGACCATGTCGTATTTATCAGGTGTTTTTGTTGGGGGGGTGGGGGGGGGGGGGCCATCAATCACTGGTAAATCTATCACATGAAATGGACCAATGGAAAAGCCAGTGGAGGAGGTAAACAATGGAAATCAGGCATAAACTCCACTGTTTTTGTTCTTGCTAGCAGCCTTGACAGTGGGTGTTATAGGGAAATGGAATCTTTAACTTGTTTACTTCGCCAGGTTTGCCAGGTGTTTTAAAGTGAAATGCAGAGCTTTTAGTGTAACCTCAGGTATGATAGAAGTTCCCTCTTTTCACCACTCTGATATTTACTCAGCCATTTACTTCCAGAAATATCTGACTTTGTGATTTGACAAAGAGCACCTGAATGCACCATTACCTTTGTTCTCTGTAAAGCTCGGCTGCTTCAGTCGGGGAGGAGGAGTTGGTTCAGCCTGTCCTCTAAAGCTTCATGGGCTACAACCTTGGAGACACACTAACTGGAAACATTGGAAGCAACCTTACAGCTTCGCTAATCAACATTTTTACATTAATGATGATCAAATTACTATTTGCACTTGAAATGTGTCTCTCATAGCACCAAAGCAACAGTGATTTTTTTTTTTTTTTTTTTACCAAATCTCCCCTGAGCTCTACAGAGCATTTTAGCATCTTTCAGTTTATTGTTTGGATTTTGCAGCCAGCAACGGTACTGTGTCTGTCTCATGTCTTGATCTAAAAACCCTCTGCATGCAACCTGCTCAGCACCAAATGGGAGACCGACAAGTTTAGGTAAAGAGCCTCATCCTTCCCCGAGGAGCTGGTGGAGCGCAAAACAGAGCTAAAATGGAGACAAACACACATCCATATGAATGCTAATGCTGCTCCAGGTCTGCTCGACATCGAGAACAGCCAATGTTGATCCATCAGTGTCGTGTTGAAAAAAATCAAGTAACACAGGTTTAAACAAAGGACGCACTTCAAATCCCCTTCATCATTCATTCCAACTGCTCCCATCAGGTGGCCAATATTAAGTTCCCCTGACCAAGACAAACACCTTGGAAAATAATTGATTCATCAGCTACTGACATTATAAACCAGGAGTGAAGGACATTGCATTTTCACTTTGCTAGTTCTACCTGAGACATACTGACTCTCTTTCTTAATCTGATATGTTTTTTATTTGGTTTGTCTGGTTGTTTTTTTAAATTCAAGTTTGCATTGCTTTTATCTGAACATGAAACATTGTTCAGCAGAAGGAGATGAGACAGTGAATTTGTGGGAATCTTAGCTCTTACCAGCTGCTGACCCTGGGGTCCCCAGCCGGCGTACTGCAGCTGAGCATTTCGCACCTCTGGAGGGTTCAAGTTCCACGTCTCCCTGGGGTGCACAGACAAAGGATACAATACTATCAGATATCAGACACATGCACAAAATGAGTGCTGACTTCCAGCAATGCAGAGGCAAGAGAACAAGTGTAGCACATCTGAGAACAATGGTTTAAGTGTATCCATAAATACCAACGCTCAGTAACAGTGTCACCTCTCCTTATTGGGAAAAGTGCTGCGCAGTGCAGGCTGGAGAATTAGAGGTGCCACTGCCTCTATGTCTTTGTCTGGAGCTGAGGATGAATGAGGTCATCAGCTGAGGTGGTGTTTTGGCACGTTACCACTGGGTGGCAGCACGCAAATAGATTTTAGCAGGAGAGCTGCTGACAATGCTGCCATACTGTGACCCGGTGTGGCAGTAATTTAAAAAGGGAAATAAGTGCCTACTCAAAGCAAAAAAATGATATTATACAGTATGTCTTGGTTATTCAACGGTTACTTCACCAGATGCTCATCTTTCTGGTTTCGTAAACTTACAAAACTTACAGAGTGAGAATATAATGACAAGCCATAATGGGCTCTCTTGTGAAAACATAGATTAAACAGGCTACATCTGTAATGTCTTTCATATCTGATCTTAAAACATTCTTTTATGCATACGTAATATGTTTTTCTTTCCATCTTTGCTATTACATATTCTATTCTGATAACTTTTTAATCTCCTGTGTTTGAGGATCTCATTGTTTATATTTGCCTTTATTGTTTGCTTTTGTCCTCCCCTATGAAAAGCACTTTGTAAGTTTCGGAAAAGTGCTTGACAAATAAAAGCATATGAAGATAAATTGCTAACTAAGAGTGAAAACTTCACTGCTTCACTTAATGGCCATTCCGTTCCTTTTAACTATTCAGCACTGAAGGACACTGCAAAAAGCTTTGCCCTCAACTCAAATGACATGGCAGCATCATTATTAGCATTTCGCAGTGCATTGTAGCAAGTCTTAAGTCTGTCAGATGGACCTCTTCTCTAATCAGCTAGCTCTGCATCTAATTGTGAATATGTGTCTGAAAGCCTCTTGTTATAAGATTATCTAAGGGGACAGACGTGCATGAGGAGCTGCCATTAGAGGTCGTAGATTACTTGCTATCCATTTGATTTCACAGACAACATCGAGTGAGAGGTTTGATGTTAGCTGTCGGTGCTTTGCGGGAGGTGGGTGCGAGAACAGGTGGGAATGAATCTGTCACGGAGTCACGGGCAGTGAGGTCAGGTGAGATACTGCAGGATGAGATAATGAGGCAGCGAGTAAATGGAACAGAGAAGCTCTGCCATCGACTTACGGAGTCTCCAAACTGCAGATGATGTAGAAGGCTGTGTAGGAATGCTGGTACACCTGGAGGTGAGCAGAGGTAAAGGAATCACATCAGAAATGGGGGAAAAAAAGTGACATTTAAGGTCTTGAACACTGCCATAAAATCAGACTATAGTTAGCTTCAGTGCAATAATATTGTTATAGTCTTGTTAAGTTTTTATATTTATATATTATATAGCTAATGAGTGTTGGTGACAAATGTAATGAAATTCCCTCTGGGTGTTCCTGATATATCACATTCAGAGAAAGGTGAGGTCACAGTGACCTTTACCTTTGACCTTTGACCACCAAAATATATTCAGGTCATCTTTGAGTCCAAGTGAATGTTTGTGCCAAATTTAATGGGATTCCCTCGAGGTTTTCCGTTCACAAGGCCTAAACCGTGTTTTGTAACGTCAACATGACCTTGACCTTTTCACCTTTGACCACCAAAATCCAATCAGCTCATCCTTGAGTCCAAGTGAACGTTTGTGCCAAATTCAAAAACAAATGACCTCACAGAGTTACTGAGATACAAGCCATGACATAGCCGGTGGGTGTGGTTACAGGTGGAACAGACTTGAAACTTTTAAACAGAGACGGGCGAGAGAACATTGCTTTTCAGTCTTGTGTTAAGTTGCTCTTTAATTACTCTAAAAAAAAAAAACACATCTTATTTCGCTCTTTTCTATGTAAGTGGAAGCTGCTATTGATTTAAAATCTAAAATCTGAATGTGTTATTGTGCTCTGATCTGGACAAATACAAAAACGCTAAAAACCTGGAATTATCCCCTAAACTTAAATTTCATCTAAAATAATCGAACTCTTTCCACAATAAATGTGTGTTACAATCTGTTTTATTTTATGCATGCTATCAGGGCTGTGTTTATGATGAGCGCGGGAATGCACCGTTCACCGCCCATTAGAGAGACATTCACATTGAATGGTGGATGGTTTGCATGTGTGTTAGTATGCAAACACTATTTATTACGAGCAGTCGTGTTCCACGCTGCATGTCATAGTGATGAGCTGCGTGTAAATGTGCATTCGTGTGATTGTGTGACTGCGCGCTGCTGCAGCGAGCGTATACGAGGAACGACTGTCATCTATCAAGGTGACGGTGGTTTGGATGGAATAATAAATGCGAACACATGCAGTACAGCGCATTAGACATCTCCAGTGTGTCGTAATATTTTCCATTCTTCTCCAGCAATAACACAAGGTTATATCACTGCCAGCATCCCTCACACAGCAACAACGGGCACCAAGTCTCTACAGTGGCTCAGTGGTGAAGCAGAATGAGGTAAACACACAGACATCAGCCAGCAAAATGATTCAATATATTTGATCTACCTATATTAGGAGCTATAATGCTTTGATGGATATCAAGGCGCTGGCAGAGCTGATGTGGTTATGGGACACTTTACATGGAATTGCACAGAAATGACAAATTCCCAGCAATACTTCCTGTTCCTACTGTCGATCTCATCTCCCTCCCTGCGAGCCGGTGCAGCGCCGAGGGGTTTGTTTGTGTTTCTGCCTCCCTCGCTACAGTTCCACTCGGCTGTGCCGGCCCCCGCCGCCATTGCTGACAGGCAGCGGTGTGCGACAGGCCTTCCCAACCCGCCATGATTACTTTCTCCTCCCTCCCTCCCTCCCTCCCTCCTTCTTTTCTTCCCCCTGACTTCGCTTCACTACGAGCCTATAATCACCCCACCCACCCCCACCCCACCCCCACGGTGGAGGCGGCTGACATATTTGGCTGTCAGTGTGCTAATTCAAAAAACAAGCAAACAAATGAGAAGCTCACCGGTGCAACGTTGTAGGCCAGCAGCACATGCTTCATGTCAGGAGACACCTCATACTTGCTGGCTTTGTACATTTCCTGAGAAGCAAAGGCAGAAGTAAGAGGGGGAGAAAAAAAAAACACAAAAAGATGAGACTTTCAACCATGCGTGGTATTTTTTTCATTAAACTACTCCTTAAATGACTGCGTTTGACGGATTGCTTGGATCCTGAAGCAAATGGGAGTAGCATTAATCTTTGCACCAGGGTTTGGTGATTTGATGGCGGACATAATGTTGTGTGTCGTCACCCGAGCATCTGCAGCGCTGATGCTTATGTCTCCTTCTCAAACGTTTCTCCACACAACCAAGCTCAGAGTGTTAACTATGCAGTTCACATTTCACAGTAACAATGGATCATTTGATTAAGCTTTGTAATAAAAAAGGGCTTTGGGTGCTTTGATTTGCTGACACTATAAGAAAAGTTTTAATTTAATTCATGGGCAGCCATGGCCACTACTTTAGTCCTGTGACTGTGAGAAAGTAAGAGAAGAAAAGATGACAAAAGACTTACAAACTTCTTGTTATGAACCAAGATGGTCTTTTCATCGGTATCAACGTTGAACTTGACAACATCGCCATCACGGTTACGGTACAACAGCTCATTACCTGTATGGTGGGAGAGAGAGAGAGAAAGGAAAAGAGACTTTGAGGAAACTAAAACCATCTTTAAAACTCTACCAACATGTAACAAATGACCCTGCATTACTCCTGGGAGAAAACTACAATTATATCCCTCTGCCAACCAGCCAAGTTGCAGGACATATGGTCACAATCTCCCCTTCTTGCGTTGCAGCATTTAATGTGTTTTTGCAGAACATTATGATGTCACAGGTGAATTTGACCTTTCACTGTTTGGATATAAAATGTCATCACTTCATCATTTCATTCTATTAGACATTTTAGGTAAATTGTGTCATAATAAGCACAGCAATTTGTGAGTTATGATCGAGTTTTTTGAGGTCACAGTGACCTTGACCTTTGACCTTTGGCCATTTGGCAATTCTAATCAGTTCATCCTCGATACCAAGTGAATATTAGTACCAAATTTGAAGGAACTCCCTCAGGGCGTTACTGGTATATCACGTTCAAGAGAACAGGGTCCTTGCTATCACTGACAGACAAAAGACAAAGAGCTCTGACTGATCAAACATAACAAAACTTCCAATTGAGCCTGTGGGTCAGACTAACGGCCTGACACACTAACTGCCCTTTAACAGTCAGAACAAAAGAGAGCAGTAATTAAGCCCTTCCACATAAAGCCTGTAACACTGGACATTCAACCTCTCCAGATCAAATGTAACTGATAGTGAGAGCGGGAAACCCTTTTAAACTACTCAGTAAGTTATGGACTTGGCCCCGAGATCTGATTAGTAATGTCACAAGTGAAGCAGTGGATCGTCTGGTTTCCTGCATGTACAGTATATCCTGTTGCTCTACAAATTAAAAAACGTTGACCTTTTGAAAATGTTACATAATAGCTGCAGATATGATAGGAAAAAAAAAAAGAAGCAAATATTCAATGTTAATGAAGTTATTAGCTGCCCTTAGCATTAACAACATAATTAAATTTTAGGGGATGATACCGTTTATTAGCTTTTTAATATCAAAGGCTTATTAAATTAGGCTCATTAAATTAAATTGCAACCAAAAAAGTGCAACTTTATCAACACATTTTCAACAGGTCACTTAACAGCATGAATATATGTTGTGGACTCAACGATTAAAACAGCTGATGGTGGAATTGTCTGATGAACTGTATAATGATTGTGATCACAAATTTAATCTAACTTTATTGGTTGCAATACAGCCCTGATATATTTTAAGTGTTTGCTCTGGTATATCAAATCAAGCGCTCCCTTCTCAATCATAAACTGGCTGCCCAGTAACAGGCCTTTGTTTCATGTGCACTGTGATAAAAGAGAAATGATTTGCTTCCCCAAACACAGAGGCAGCTGTAGGTCGGTACACCAGAAGACCTCTGCAAGGGTATTACATGTTTATTGGATGTTTAGGTTAGATGTGAGGGTTTTTTTGTTTTGTTTTTAACCTTTATTTATTCAGGGTAGTTTCACAGAGAGGCAACCACTCTTGTACAGGGACACACACATTCACACCTGGCAGCTGCCCAGTAAACCACAGCCTGACCTGCTGGCCACTGAGCAGCTCCACTTAAAGGTTTATTGTACCAATTTGAACTGTTTAAGTGCCATAAAACCAGCATATTGTGCCATTTTAACCCTGTTGGTGCAGAAAATAAGTAAGAGAACCAACTACTCAGCACCTTGCAAAAATATATGCTCAGGTGAATGGCAGAGAGCAACAACCCCACCAACTGTGCTGCAGATAAAGTAGCTGTAACAAAGCGTAAAGGTTTAAGCTTTAGGTTTAAACCTGAAGTATTTCTCGAGAACATTAAAGATTCATGACTCAGTAAGCAACAGTAAAGGTCAGAGTTTGGAAAAAAAGAAAAGAAAAACACCCTGATGTATTATTTCTGAAGTGTGACTCTGCTAATTGGCTTCAACATGTCTGTGTAGGCTGCTCAATCCTGACTGGTGCATGGAAGTATGCGACATCACTTAAGCCCCACCTATTTCAAACCAGTGAGAACAGCTCAGAGAGAAAGAAAAAAAAAAAAAAAGAAGAAATCTGCCATGTGAAATAAGCAATACTGTCCTAACCTTGGCACTGTGTGTTCATGTAGTTTCAGGGTCTTTAATAGACCTTTGTGCTCCTTTACACAATATCCAGAAGAAGAGAGAGTGACGTTTGTCCCTTTAAAAAAAAAGAAAAAGAAAAAAAGTGTCACTTCTGAAGAGAACTTTTCAACTTCCAATCAGCACTAACAACACTAGCAACTAAAGTGCTCTCCAATCTGATCTGGTCAACGTCAGGGAAAAAGCTTTCAATACGGCTGAAGACAGAAGCTTCCAGTGCAAACACAGTGAGGTCAGGCCGTGAGAGTAAAACCCTTGTAGGGAGCCGTTATTTGACAGATGTATGAAAGTTCACACAGCTCCTCATCCATCAGGCTTTTATCAGGGAAGGATACATTTAATACAGCAACTGTCCCCTTTCACCTTCAATCTATCTGCGCTCCTCTGTCTTATTGCTTTAGTGATCCATAGGCGCACGAGCAACCACGCCATTTGGTGAGGTAATTAGAACCCGGAGATTGTTATGCAGAGTGCTCTCTATCTCCTAGCATATCTAATTGTCCATTAGAGGTGACAGAATTACCATCACAATGGCTTTAATTCAGAACGTGCTTGGGGGAGCAGTTTCAGACATTTTTAGACTGGCATAGCCAAACGCCCCCTCAACAGCTTTTGTCTCCATGTTAAGAACCATCGGCATACTAACAAGGGTAGAAAATTGACTCTTTCATGGAAATCATGACGATAAATAAAGGAGTACTGCCTTTTCTCATCGTGCTCCATTATTTTAGTTTGACTCCGTTTGGCATCTTGATAAACGTTCTACTTTTATAAATAAAAAGGTAATTGCAGACGCTGGGGCCCGAACGGTTAGAAAGAAAGAGCACATGGTGATAAATCAGTGGTCAGAGAGATTGACTGGACTTGATTTTGTTTCACGACTTACTCTGTTTTAAATTCAGAGACCTGCATCTCTTTTAGGCGCCTTTTTCATCTTTATACCTCACCGAGCTGCTGTTCTTCTTCTCAGAAGTACCTCAGATCTCTCAAATCCTTCCCATCACCGGCCTTTATATAAGCCCTCCTGCTGAGTTCATCATTTTAGACCTTATCATCCCTCCTTCACATAGCCAACTCTTTGTTTTCGGCTCTTTGACCGAGAGTCATCTATTCTCTCACAGTACCTCAGGCATTACGTCTTCCCTTCAATCTCTCCCCTTTCTAGGTTTCTCCCTCGCTCTTTCCCTTCACTCTTGTTCTCTTTCCCCTCTACCTTCATTTGCTGTGCATCAGCCCAGGGCGCTGTTTTCTCCTCTGATCTATACCTTTCCACTGCAGTATGTCTTATTAATATAGCCTCCTGCCTTGGGCATAGCTCTAACCCAGCCTCACTCCAGGGGGGGCAGAGGGAAAGCCAGGGGAGGGGGGAGAGCGGGAGACGGAGATACAGGGCAACACACTTGAGTGAGACTGAGGACCGATTCTATATTTTGAGTTTGTACTATTCATCTCCCATGGACGTAGCAGCATATTCTTAGAACATGTCCTTTACCATAGAAACTGTCGCATTGAGAATAATTTCAGTTTTTTCAAACCTTCGCTCTTATTTTCACGGTTCAGACGATCAGTCATGAACACGGCAGTCGGACCATTGAGAAGGATTTTAACATGCAAACTCAAATTGCGAGCATATTGGTCCACGAAAAACAACATTTTACTGTGTAGAGGGTTACACCAAGCAGAATTTTACCAAAAGTTATTATATGATGATTGAAGGGCAACACTATGTAGTAAAATGTTCTTCTGGTTAGACGATAATAAAAGCTTTGTTTGTTTGTAAGCAGTTCTGTTCTTGTCAAACTAATCTTTCAATATTGCATTTTTGGTGTCTTATAAATCCATGTAGGCTTGTGAGTGTTGAAAAAAAGATATAAAGCACTTAGCAAAATATGAGAAAATTACTTCTTGTGTTTCCCATAATAAAAAAAGCTACAGTATGTAAATCTCTGTGTTGTACCCTTACTTCAAAATCATTGTTTTAGGTACCTGACACTTTATGATACTGAATGTTTACCACAAACTTTGAGCTCTGTGTTTAAATTATTATCATACTTTTCAGGCAATATTAACTGGAAATAGAAATAAAAACATATATTCAATTATTTTTGAAATTGCATCTGCAGTAGCTTTTTTTTCAGCCCTGAGTAGGGTCTGCAGGTGTTCCTGTCAGGCTGCACACAGCCCCCCAACCACCTTCACCAGTAATGTTGGACAGCCTGTATGTAACCTGTGAGGCAGAACTGTGCTGAAGGCTTCATTAGCGTTTAAAATAATCCTTTTTTGCTTCATGTGCAACATGGCAGCTTGGGCAGAAAGACAGAAGAGTGCAGAAAGTCCAGGTAATACCACTTAAATGAAAATGGACTCCAAACTTTTGAAGTTACCGTGTCGAGGAAATTGCATGAATATCATCAATAAAACATACACAAAGCAGAGATGTAGAGATTCCATCGAACAACCTTTTTTTTTTTTTATACCATCCAAGAGGACAAAGAAGTGAAACATGATTGGCTCTCTGCCCAACAAGAATCTCCACACCCATACAACCACTTGGCAAGAAGCTATGAGCTGTTATCTGTGCTAACATACACTTAATGCACGCACAGGAATTCTATTCTCCAGCTAAATGAATCCCAACAGGCACATACACAAAGTGATCAAAGGCACATCGACAGCAACACGATTCATGCTAGTTTACTTCCACATTTCTGACTGCACTCTAATGGAAAAGAGCTCAAACTTTTTTTGCTCATTCTCATCTTTGCAGTCCTCTGTGGCTGTTCCCCCTTGACCCTTTCTTTGGAGACACAGCTGTATTCATTTCTGCATTCAGTGTTCTCCTGAGTGTGTTTTGTACTGGTTGAGAGTGTTACAACACTCGAGAGCAGT